TTCAGCCATCTTCAACACAAACGAATTCGACAGAACCTGGCTTGGATTGCGGGGTCTATCATGCCATAAGTTTTTGTACTTGCTTTTTAAACCTGACGTTCCCACGACGACATTTCCCCAGAGGAGGAGTGAGGACTATACCGGCATGCAACGCGGTCAGGCGCGGTTTTTTACATATTATCGATTTCTCGCTCTGCGCCGTCATTGTTCGGTCGGCTTTCGCTGTGTTTACACCACTGAGCTATACTTATATATCTGGAGATCGTGCTCTCGACGAAAGTGTGTGGCCAAAAACATGGCGGATTTGACGTCACAATCGACCTATTTTCATGGGGGTTTCCACTGTCCCGTGGCTCGAATGTTCGTGGGCGACAAAGTTCAACCCCCCCTGGATTTTACAGTGATTTTGTATGTTTATATTAGTTGATCGACAGAGAGTATATTTTTGATTTTCGTCCTTTTGAAAATACAGTATTATTCTAACTGCGCGTATAAATCAATAAAGACCGAAAGCCATTAATAAAAAAAGACATGAATGGAGCTTGACGGCCACAAGAACAAAGCATGTAAGTCATTGAAATGATTTATCAATTCTTGTATATTTGTGAATTTGTGTTGCAACTGACTATCAAGATTATTCTTTAAAACACGAGTATTATAACAATCCCCAGCAAGTAAAATTAAGCAAATATAGCTTGTTGAAAACCGTACTGCTATAAATTTCCCAATGTAAATTTCCCTGAGTGACAAAGGTTTTTTTAGAGATTTTAATACCAGTTTATTCTATTAGTAAATTGTGGGGAAAAGCAACTCTTTGGAATATAAAGCACTTATATCACCATTAAAGTTTTTTACACCTGTATGTATTCCGCTTTCAGGTATGAATTTATCAAGAAAATATGGGATATCTGTACTAAGTACCAGATGGCAATGAAGAAAGTCAAGTGTATTTCTTTATAATGGTCTTCCTTGTAAAAGGCAATGGCACTATTTCATTGAACATTCAAGGAACAATCACCTTTTAAAACAAATATGCACATTTTTATGCTCGAGTTACAATGTTTGATTTTGATATCTGCATTTTATGCGATTCATACCTTATTTTTAAGTGTTCCTCAAATATTGATTCAATACATTACCTCGGGCTGACCAATTCATTCCATCAAGATATTTGCTGTGTTGGTGTAATACATGTACTCAGGTGAATAAGATGCTTGTGTGATGTTACGTACTCTGAGTGGATATCCACACTGGGCAGGCTTGAAAAATATGCCTGGCCACAGTGGGATTTGAACCTACAACCTTTGGAATACTGGCCCAATGCTCTGCCAACTGAGCTATACAGTCGGGGCAGTTCGAGTATGCAATATTTCGGAACTGAGTCTAGTTCCTTCGATATCAGTGTAATCTAATAACCATGATATTTGTGAATATGATGCTTGTGTGATGTTACTCTGAGTGCATATCCACACCGGGCAAGCTTGAAAAATATGCCAAGCCACATTGGGATTCAAACCGACCTGACTGCGTAGCTCAGTTGACAGAGCATTGGCATTTGGGCTAGTATTCCAAAGGGTCGTAGGTTCAAATCCCACTGTGGCCAGGCATATTTTTCAAGCCTGCCCGGTGTGGATATACACTCAGAGTAACATCACACAAGCATCTCATTTCATCAAGTTCCTCCAGATATTCATACACTTCCTGTGAAAGAGCCAATTCCAAGTATTTAATCATTTCTGGTCACTTCCTTTCTATTTATGATTGGTTAGTTGCACAAACAACAAAGGTGATTGGTGCATTCAAACCATTTAACAGGAAGTTTACAATTATACTAGGAAGTGTATGAATATCTTGAGGAACTTAATCAAATGAACTGGTTAGCCCGAGGTAATGTATTGAATCAATATTTGAGGAACACTTCAATTGGAACGACAGTGAAGAATTATTAAAAAAATATTTTATTCAAAAAAAGATTTTCCAAGATAATTGTATAATTACATTTAGTAATAAGAATAAATAATATATTCAATTTCAAATCACAACAAAATTTATTCTTTATTTTTAAACACATACAACACCAATTTAATTAAATAAACTGCTCAACCAATTCTATGCATGTCAATCCCTACTTGATGGTCAGCACCTTACAGTAATTATGCTAGCCTAATTTGTACACTAACACAAATGGTCAAAATAAATGTAAATGTAGCAATCTTGGCTTAGCTAAACAGACCAAAATGTGTACAAATAACTTAAAGTTGTTAGCAGAAAAATTAAGGAATAAATTTAACCCATTGAGTGGCGAAGCACCCTATTTTAGTATTTTACTCTGTCTAACGCCAGACAATTTTACTCGTCAAGGGGAGAGCGCTGGCGCTTAATGGGTTAATTACCCCTCATGTACAGTATGACCATTAATTGTACTGATAATAAACTGTAAAGATCACAACCAAGCTGACCAAAGCAATCAAAGATTGTTGGTACAGCATATGGCTTTAACACTGGTATCTGGCTGTAATCCTCCTCAAAGATATCAGCACTAAAATGCTTTCAACACAAACGACTATTTTTCATAGGAAAAAACTTCACTGGCATAAGTTTGCTTATATTCTTCACCCATATGCTGTGCAATTCAGGGAATCTCTTCTCATCGACTCATCTGGAAAGCTTTGAAGTAAATGAACAATTGTTTTTATTGTCTAGTTAATACACTGTTCAATACGATACTGTATTGGGTTGTAGTAAAGTTGTAGACAATAATCTCTGCGATCGCCTTTTGAACGATGTTTATTTACGTTTTGTTGGAGCATGCGCATAGGAGCTAATATGGCGTGCGAAGGAAAACAGTGTTTTACCTAAATCTATTATTTTGTAATTTTTCATATTTTTATAATTAAAGTGAGTTGAAACCTGTTTTTCGCCTCATTTACTGGCAATCCCAGTACAGATACCTATAACTTACAATATAAACAATGCCACACTAGACAACACATGGTTTAGTCCACAATAAAGACAATACAATGAGTGAAAGGCTTTGTACATTTAAAGCTAGTCGTATCTTTATCACATTGTTAAAATTCTCATTTGAAATTTTTTAACATAGCATTATCTGTTAGGATATCGATAGGATTTCATCACTGCATCACATCCATCAACTTGCATGAAAATAAATACTTGCTCGACAACAGCTCCACAAGCTTGTCAACATTTTAAAATTTTGTTCTGCTTTTGCACTGTAGTACACTAACATAAATTGTATGTTGCTTGCCAATAAATTTCATGAATTCACAATTTTACGCATTCAATACAGCAAATACAGCATGCGTTAAATTATTACAAAAAAAGAGATTATACGAGCCTTAATACGCATGTGAGGACAGGTCCTTTCTTTCAGTAGATTTTTGGCAACCAGGAATTGAACAAAAAGTTGGCATGGTTGCAAATGTCTCGTTTCAATATAGAAATTTCCGACCGAAATTTTGAATTTACTATTTTACTCCTTCTGCTTTGTTTTAAGCAAATTGAAAGGGGGGTGTGAATAACTTTTTTCTTCACGTTAGTATTTTACGTCAGTGGTGTTCACCATAAATTTAGGTCGATTGTGACGTCAAAATGACGTAAATTTGGCCAAAATCCGCCATGTTTTTGGCCACACATTTTTGACTGACGAGGTATTGGAGCACGATCTCCAGATATATTAAGTATAGCTCAGTGGACCAGCCGCAGCCAGGGTCTCTCCCAGATGACAGACGGAGAGACCCTGGGAACGAGGTTGAGGTTTTTTGCGCCTCGTCGCCTCCAGAAAACCTCTGAACCCAGGGTAGGAGG